TAAACCTTCATCATCACCATAACCTGGGTCTCAGCGTCTCTCCTCACCACCAACAACCTCACACCTTATGACAGAAGGATCCGACCACAAACGACGGTGAGGAACCAGCATGGACGCCTGGACAAATCCCTGGTGGGGAACACGGCTGGTGCTGTGCCCACCAGGGGTCGGACCCCGCCGACATTGCCGCCCTGTGCCGCCGGAGGTCCCGGCCCCTGGGCGCCGACGTCACCACCGCCCTGTGCCGCGGCCCCTGGGCGCCAACGTCACCATCGCCCTGTGCCGCTCTCCAGAGTCTGCTCCGTCAGAGCCTTCAGCCGGCCGTCCTGCCGTCCTGCCGGCTCTCTAAAGCCTACTGCCGGCCGGCCCCTCTGCTGGCCATCCAGGGCCTCCAGCCGGCAGCCTCCTGCTGCGCCGGCGGAAGCCGCCGCACCCATCTCGTCTCTGCTTCCTGCGCCGGCGGCGTAGACCGCCGGACCCGCCTCCGGGACTCCGCTTCCTGCGCCGGCGACGCCCGCCGGACCCGCCTCCGGGACTCCGCTTCCTGCGCCGGCGACGCCCGCCGGACCCGCCTGCAGGACTCCACCTCCGCCGGACCCGCCTGCAGGACTCCAGCTCCGCCTCAGACGTCGCCGTCCACCGGATCTCCCATGGGAGCTCCACCTCCTGTGCCATGGTCGGTCCCCGGACTGTTTCCTGTGTTTGAGTTCCTGTTTGGATTTAGTTTTGTTTCCTGGACTCTAGCCCTCCTGCCGTCACCCCTCCGCCCACCCTGTTGGGTTGTTTTTGTTTAGGACTGTTTTCTAGACTCTTGCCCTCCTGCCGCCACCCCTCCGCCCACCCTGTTGGGTCGTTTTTGTTTTTTGTTGGACTTTCCTGTTGGGTGTCTGGTAGCCGCCCCTTGAGGAGGGGGTACTGTCATGATCCGTGTTTCTGTGTGTTTTTTTTTCTGTGTAGTCCTGTTCACTGTGAGTCTGTTACCTGGTTCCTCGTGCTGTCAGTTGTTCCTCCCTGCTGTCCCCCGTTGTTCCGTTTTTGGATTATTTATTATTAAAATCATCACTTTTCACCTACCTCCTGGGTCCGCGCGTCCTCATCCTCACCACCAACCACCATTCATGACACTTTTACTTTTAATACTTACGTATTTTTAAAAGCCAGTACTTTTTAACTTTTACTTAAGTACAAATGTTAATGTGGTAGTTTTACTTTTACTTGAGTACATTTTTATCTGTGTATTTGTACTTTTACTTAAGGAAATTTTTTGAGTACTTTCTCCACCACTTGTATTGTATTATGAACCTAGTCCATAGTCTTATTGTATGGACTAGGTCATCAAATCACTACGTTGCCTGTCGGAATTTTTAATGTCCAGCAGGTGTCAGTATTCAGTGACACAGTATCGAGACAGAATCGACACAGCTTTGCTATGGGTCGAAACGATACACGACATCTACCCATCACTAAGTTTGGTTATCTGGTTTCTTGGTTTATATTTACATTTAAGCTGCAACATTGCAGTGAAATGAGCTTTGTAATCATAAGAAAGTTGTCCCTTGATTGCTAAATTTAAACTTTTCCATCAAGTGGACCAGTAACAGACTGGAAATCAGTTCAGCAGTGTGACTCTAACTTGGGAAATTCAAGGAAATCTCAGAGGTAGATGGAGTCAAATGGCTGAATTTCATCGCACAAACATTCACAAAACTGTAACAACTTTCATAGCGACATTGTAGGGATTATAAAAGATTATACAATGGCATTAAGCCCAAAATATAAAAACAATAATCAATAGACTGCATTTAATTCACACAAGATAAATTAGCAGTTAGCTGGTTACAGTTATTCTGATTGATTTATAATCGAGGTCAATATTTTTCTGTTAATTGCCTTCACCACCACTTCAAAGCATCATGGTGACGCTTCCGGAACACCTCCAACACCGAGATTGTAATAATCCAGCTCCGTGTCATTCTGTTGGGCTCTCTGCTTCCCCCTGGTGGTCTGTAGGAAAATAGCAGCACAGCCAATTTACAGCATCATGCCAGGCTGAGCGTTTCAGCTCAGTCAGAAACAAACTGTAACGCTACCTTATGGGTGTAGAAAATCAGCGAGCTGAAGATCAGCAGAGTCAGCAGCAGGACCACCAGTCTGATGATAAAAACTGTTGGATCTGACAAGACACACAGTCACAATAGTCAAGTCATGTCAGATTATGATCACGGTGATAAAGTTTCCCTCAGCTCATGTTCTTTTTATACTGGTTGGCCTGGAAATGCTTATTTATTTATCCATTTGAACTTAAGGAACATTATTATTCAAGAGTGAAACTGAAAATATTATTAAACGAATGACTTATCAATTCAGAAATCACATTTATGACAATGCAGAAATGGAAATCAATGCTGAATATTTCTCAAGAATGCTTATTCAGTTCCTAAATAAAGCAACTTGTGGATTTCAGCAGATATTTTGTACTTGGAGGACACACAAAATGTAAAAAACCATTGTGAAAAACAGTCGTAAGAGTCAAAAATGTCAGTTTAGATTGATTGTTATTGTGTATCCCTTTTGTATATCTAGATATTTTCTTAACGATAAAATTCTCTTTTAGTATGTTTTTGTAGAAAAGCGCTGCCTAGTGGAAGTACTTGAAGATTTATGAAACCTGCTGTGTCATAGTAGATCAGAAAGTAAATTGGATGTGACGTGTTTAGCTTTGCTCTACACCTGCGTTTCTCAACCCTGGTCCTCACCTCCCCCCTGCTCTGTATGTTTTAGATGTGCCTCTATTCCAGACCTGCTGATTCAAATGATTGCATGACCATCAAGTACTGCAGAAGCCTGTTAATCACCCAGAGATACAATTCAGGTGTGTGGCAGAAGGGAAATACCTAAAACATGCAGGACAGGGGGGGCGGTGAGGACCAGGGTTGAGAAACACTGCCCTACTCAGTTCTTTTGACCGGTACGTGTGAAATGCTGTGCAAGATTGAAGAATTGTTTTTGATATCTGCTCAAAGAAGTAAAGTTCATCGTTCATCAGACTTTGTGTGGATTTTGTAAGTGTTTCTTCAATTCATGAAGAGATCCACAACAGCATATGGTGGAACAGAAACATGTCAGCTAAAACCCAAACTAACGAATGTCAACAAAAGAAAACAAACTTGTCCAACAATATTGTGGCTTTATGGAAGTGCAATAACATTAGCACAAACATTAGCATTCCACTACCCCCACTGCATAAAAAGTAAAACATGGTAATGCATTCCACTGCATTAGTATTTTCCCTAAAAAAGCTTTTAGCTATTTTTCTTATTTGTTAGCCATGTACATTAAAACGAATAAGCAGTCACTACAACAGTGTTCTTCCTCTGTAAATCTTATGCTCACAAACAACCCCCTATTGGGAACTCATCTCTCAGCTATACGTTTGTCACTTGAAGTCAAGTTTTCAACTGTACCATAATTCTCATTTTTTTCCCCCCAGTGAAGTCAAAGTTGCAGAAAATAATCCAACCTCTTCAAATGTTTCACAAAGTTTATGCTCTGCTCCTGCTTAAAGGACCTGTTAGCTTAAGCACATGTCTAAAATGTTGTACTAAAAAAGTCCTCCTAAAACTTGACTGATCAGATTCTAAACTGTCGGTAATGTTCTCTTTTTATGAACATGTTCACAAAAATAAAATTAATTTAAATGCTGTACACATTGATTACATCCCAATATCAATATCCTTATCTAAATTAATTTTAAAACTACACGTTTTCCAGTTATTAGTGCCGAGAACACTTTTTAAAAAACAGAATAAAATGATCTTTTGTCTTTTTCAAGGTTCACCGTCCACTCGGTTTGAGGGTTCAAAGATTATGTGAAAACTTCGGATACATGGAGAAAAAGGCAGATTAGTTTACATGTAAATATTTGGTTTATATCCATACTCAGATTTTCACATATCTGAATAACACAAATATGTCCTACACACTGGCAAACTTGAATTTCTCTTTCCCTTCATTTTGGAATGTTGCGAAGTTTAATTTGCAATCTATTTTTCTGTGTTTACAGAAATATTCCTTACATTATTTAATAAATATATCTATAAAATATATTTTCTGTAACAGTGATTCCAAACACATCATCATCCCTTCATAGCAGTGCGTTTTAGTTTTGGAGAAAATTGGCTCCAGAGGCTGTTTTTGTGTCTTATTTTTCTAATGACAGATTTGCCTTTAAAATCAGTTGAAATTCAGATTAGGATATTTATTTATTATTACCTGTCTTTTATGACTTAAAAAAACAGAATATTTTTAAATATACTCACCGTAACTAGGAAGTTGTTTCAGCTCAGTAGCGGCATGACAGATGCTGGTAGAGATATTGGAGGCAGCATCATGGAGGGATTGGAAAGTCGAAACATGGTAAAGATGACTTTTGATGTCTTCAGAAGCGATGGTCCTCAGTTCATCAAGGGTCCTTGACTTGCTAAAAGCATCGCCCACACCTGAAACGAACATGTACTACTACAGCAGTGATCTAAGGAGGAAAACTTGCTCTACAATTAAACTGTATCATCCACACAGAAAAGGAACGTTACCAATAACAAAGACCTCAACCCCAGTGTCTTTCAGATTCTTTGCTGGGATTCCTACTTTGTCCTGAGCTTCTCCATCAGTGATCAGAACAACAATTTTTTTTGAGTCTGGACGCATTCCCACCCCGGGTTTAAAGCTGTGGTTACGGATGTAATCCAGAGCTTGTCCTGCATGTTGTGAAGAAGAAAGAGACGTCTTAGGAATGGGTTTTAAATGCCTGCAAAAATATAATAATAATAAAAAAATTATATCACATTTTAAATCTGATGGTATTTTTTCTGATGGTGTGTCTCTGTGTTGCCCTGCGACAGACTGGCCACCTGTCCATGGTGACCCCGCCTCTTGCCCGGAAAGTTAGCTGGAGATAGGCACCAGCAACCCTCCCGACTCCACTAAGGGACAAGGGTATACAGAAAATGGATGGATGGTATTTTTTCTGTTTCATCTACAGAATGCCCAGTTAAGATTATGGGTAAGAATATGATCCCAGGGAAAAGTCCAAAACTTTTGTATTTAAACAACTCTTATGTTGACAGCTTCTCACAGAAAGTATCTATGGTGTAGAGACATAAAAATGTGTCTCTAGTTCTGGTCCAATAATGTTTGGTGTGTCTTTTGTGTTTTTTGTAAGAATTTATTTGTTACTGAAATTTGTATCTTTGCTTCAGTCTGCCAATGAAAAGAGTGATGCTGTGGTCTACTCCTGCTGCCCAAAAGAGAAATCTCCATGGTAACCTGTGGCTCTGCTGGTTTCTATATTAAGCAACATCTTCTTCTGTCTAATATTGCTCCAGCTGAACTAACAGACAAAGCTGACCCAGGTTATATTCTGAGGGAGAAGTTGCTCTAGAACCCAGGGTTTCCCCCATGGAAGAGCTACTAAAGCCACATTGGCAGCATTAACTTAAATCTCCAGTTTGTAGCGCATTTAACTCATCATGCAGGGCTGGTCCAAGGCTGTATGAGGCCTGGAGCAGAATTTGACTTAGGGGCCCCTCATGCTGCTAAAAACATCAGCACCTCTAACAGCTTCTGTGTTAGATGTAGTGAAATCTTGGAGAGGGGGAGTAGTTTTATTGGCCAACCTAAAAAGCAAGTTTACTCATTTGTGAACACACAGAGCTCAAACTCAAAGATTAAACTGAGAGCGTCAGATTGTTGCCATGGTAACAAAACAATTTAACTATGAATATTGTTTTTTCAACCTCTACAAAGTAAACTTGCCAGCTCCTTAAAATATGACATTTAAGTGTTAAATTTATTTAAAATATTTTTAATTTATGTATGTTGAAGGCATAAAATCAAATTTAGCAGCATTGATCATCTCAAAGGCTACATTTATATATCTGTAATCTGTGTTAAAATATTAGCATTTATGGGGCCCCTGAAGACCTGGGGGGCCTTATGAAGCCTATGACTTAATTTGGCTTAAACAGAAGTGCAAATAATCAATATTAATTTTAATTGTATTTTTTGATTTGTTGTTTTTAAGAGTAGTTGTGGGTTTAAATATTGTTAAATAGAGTTTTTTTAGCGATGTCTTCCCATAAGATATAATTACCCAGTAATATATTTCCTTTTACCCTTCAAAATGTGAAAAGTTCTAGTTTTGAGTTGTGAACCATTCAGATCCTGAAGTCCCAGAGCTCCTCATGGTGAGACCCTGCTGTGGACACAATAACATACTGACCTGTTCCTGTGCCTCCACCTACTTGTCGTATCTGGTCAATGGCCTGCAGCAGGGACTGTTTGTTGTTGTGGCTGTTCAGGTGCCACTCAGCTTTAGGGCTGCTACTGAACTGAGTCAAACCTACAGAAAACACACATGAACCGATCAAATCAAACCAAACAGGAACTTAGAGCAAGAATATGTTTTGACAATAATACATACTTGCATATTGTGTACACTAAGATGGCTCATTAAAAGACCTTTGTTTAAATGAAAATGAAGTAATACCTATTTGGACTTTGTTGGGACTGATGGGGAAGTTTTGAACCATCTCAGATAAAAATGATTTCATCCTTCCAAAGTCATCCTGGCTAATGCTCCCAGAGCCATCCACTAGCATCACAATGTCAGCTTTGGCCATTTCACACTGAGATCCTGAAAGAAGAAAACAGTTACAAATTTATGTGAAAAATAATGTTAAATACATCAATGCTAAAGCACAGCTTTATCTGTCTTTTTTATCATTTCCATCTGTTCCCTGTCAGCAATGTTAGGAAAACACAACTTTTCTTAACATTTTTTTCCCCCCCACATCATCATGGCATCTCTACCGCTCTCTGTGAGCTTTAATATCTCAGCTGCTAAAAAAAAGCAGTATTAAATGTGGGCGAAAAGAGTATGGAAAATCTATTTTACTGACAAAGAATAAAGTACAAGCTGTCATTTGCAACCTCAAAGACAGACAGTTTGATATAAAGTGAGCAGCTCTAGAACATCCTGCACATCAACAAAGTGTTTGTTTTGAACATCACATGGCCAGCATAGAGTCAGAAGAACAACAGAGTCCTGTGTTGGCATGTGAAGAGTTAATACATTTCATGGGCTTCATTAGGAAGGCAATTATTTATCTAGCCATCTCACAAATACAGGCAAAGCAAATCAACTCTGGTATGAAAAAAAATATAGTGCATTACATACATAAAGTGATACAGTGTAAAAAAATACAGTTTTTTTTACATTGTATTTTTTACACGTTATCTTATAAGGTATACGTATTCTAAGATTAATACCGTATACCTTAAAAATATGTTTTTTTAAACATCGTATTTCTAAGGTAAAATTCTGGCAACCACACCTGCCGGTATTTTACCTCAAATAAGAGACTTTTTTTTTTACAGTGTAGATTATGTAATATGACTTTATTGACTTTTGTTGTGTCAGCTGAAATTAATCCCTTTACCTGTGTAGCTGTAGATTTCACCACCTTGCAGCCCTGAAATCCAGGAAATAAATGTCAGCAGGTTTTAGAAAGGCTCTATTACTATCAACTGTTCTTCTGCAACATATAATAATACATAAACACACTGCTAAAATTGAGTGTCATACTTTGCACAAGACCTGAACCTCTGTAGTAGAAACTTAAAGAGAAAGCAATGGTGATTTCTACAAGTACTGTTAAAAACACCACATTTTTTAAAGTTTCAAAAAGTTAATATACATTTTTGTTGCTCAGACAAATGTTTGTTCCTCCCTTTAGTCTCCAGTGAAAAAGTCAAGAAATTTGTCACTGTCAGCCTTCAGCTGAACGCCAACAGATGCAGGAAGAGGAGCGGGAATTTGAAGAGTTCAAAGATTGTTTACAGGGAACAGGAACATGGCTTAGTGGCAGACAAGTATTTCTTACCTTGGCCAAGCCATGCTGAGGGTTTGAATCTTACCTGAGCTCAGCAGCAGCAGCACCAGCAGCTGATTCATGTTCAGGAGAGAAAAGTGTGTTTGTAGGTCCATTAGTCTTATCTTCTCTCCTCTTTTGGTCGTGTTATTTCCTTTTCCTGTTGTTTTCCTCTGTTGTAAGCTCAACTATATTTTTGGTGGTGCCCACAAAGTGATGATTCATGAACACTAAATTGTCCCCGCAACAGCACAGCCTAAAACGTTCCAGGCTATTTTGCACAACGGAGCCACAAGTAGTGACGAACGTCGACGAAGCAGTGGCGTAAAAACACGTGTTTGCACACTGGACTTTATTTGGCAACAGAGATATGTCAGAATCTACCACACTTTTCAGAGAAATGCAAGAATGAGGAACATATTTGGAGTTTCTTGTTATTTTACTGAAGCCTATTTCTCGCTCTGAGGAGCAGAATATCATGAAACCATGATTGCTCTGCTGAAATCTGGACAGCTTCATTCACTCTCCGGTGTGGCAGCGAGTGGGATAATAATTGCAGCATCCCGCCAAGGGAATTTTCTCATGAAGACAACTATAAGAAGGCCCAACAAAACACTTGATTATGAATCAGTTTCCTGTAGCAAATGTTTCTTCTTAGGCTTCAGAATAAATCAAGATGTTTCCCTCTGTCTGAATGTGCATTACAAGCAGCATCATTTGTGCCTGAGGTGTTTTAAAGGTCAGAGCTTTATAACATTAAAGCTCTGATTAATGTTATATGTAAAGCTGTCTGTCCAGCTTCCCTCAGCATCACTCTAAAGTTTATTGAATGGTTTCTGATCAGAATTCATTTCATGATGTTGGTCCTCTTCTTTAACCCATGGGGCCTCTCATATCTTCTTCTTTAACCAAGTTCTTTCTGCATCAAGACCAATTCATCAACTTCTTACTTGTTATTTGTGGACTTCCTCTTTGCCTTCCACTTCATTTCTTGGTATCGATGGTGTCACCACACCTACTTGTGTTTTAAATGAAGCTCTTAAATTATTGCACAACAGATGTGTATGTTCAACCAGTTGGTTGAAGGTGTTCTTTGGAAATGTCAAAACACTGTCACATGTTCCATGTGTCGAAAGCAGAAGTTAGTGGTTTGCAAGGTGTGTGTTGTTGATTTTGAAATTACCTTTTTTTACTGGGTTAACTGTTGATTTTTTGATAGGTTTATTTTTTAGTAGAACTGAATGAGGAATCAAGGTCTCAATGAATCAAATCACCTGATTCCTATTTGACCTGGAGAACTCAAGATTTTCTGATTGATGAACATTTAGAGTTGGGCTCAGATCTGTCTCCATGGAGAGGGATTCTCTGCAGAATCTCAGAATGAAAACCCAGCCAAAAAAGATTATTGTATTATTTTTTTTATTTCCAAAGCAATTTGGATTGATCTTGAAAATTAAGGTAGAGGTTCTTGTAGAAGGTACTGCTAGTTCTAGTTTAATTCAACTCATTCTTCCTTGGGTTCTTTTATGCCAAAACACATGATGTGATTTTTCTTTGCTGGCATAGATAGAGGCTGTGTCTTGTTTTGAGGATTTACACGTTAAATTTGGTTTGTAATTACATAAAAAATGCAATTCAACAACAAAATAAACTTTATCAGAAACAAAACAAGAGGCTTAATATTAAAGTGGCTCAAATAAAATGTTTCAATTAAGCTTCAATGTTGTTTTACCTGACAGACAAAGTTCAAAACAGACTTAACATCCAAAAAGACACTGTTTTTAATCTTTATATATGACCTGATGCAAATTGTAGAGCTAAGTTGAGGCCATGACGTTTGTTGAAAATAAAAAAAAATTGGAAGTGAAGAAAGAAAAAAAAGATTTGAAACTGAAAAGGATGTGAAACTAAAAAAAAGTTCAAAACTACTTTTTCAGATCAAGTTTAATTTTTTTCCAGTTTCATTTTTTTTTTCAGTTTCAATTTTCGATTTCTTTTGAGCAATCTATGACCCCAACATAGCTCCATACTCATCATCATTCTGACTGAATGTTCTTATCACATAACACAAAAGCAAACTCACAGCTACACTGCTAATCATAAAGTCTTTGGATAATCTGAGATTTACATAAATCTAAATAGTCTGAAACCATATTATAAGGATTATATTAAAAGTCATTAATAAGAAAATGAAAGACAATAATCTGGAAAAACAGAACCAATAAAGAAAAAAAGACATTGAACATCAAAGTAACAGCAGGAATGTTTCAGCAGGTCTAAGCAGTTGATTCCTCCAGTACACATTTTCCACCACATGGTGTCGCTACAGAGCTGCCTCCTCCTGTTCTTCCATCACCTCTCTCACTTCATCTCCTCCAACATCTAAGTTCTTCTGTGCGACAGTCTGCTGCCCCCTGGTGGTCTGTAGGAAGATACAAGCACACATCCAGCTGAGTTCGAGCATCATCCCAATCTGAAAGCTTCAGCTGAATCAGAAACAAACCTCTACGCTACCTTATGGCTGCAGTAAATCACAGAGATGAAGATCAGCAGACTCAGCAGCAGGACCACCAGTCTGATGATGAAAACTGTTGGATCTGATGAGACACTCAGTCACTGCATGAGCACAAGGAACAAACCCAGCTGCCTTCAGCTCTCCGTCAGCTTACCTGAGACTCTCAGAGTCAGCACACGGCTCTGGGAGGAGAAGTTATGAGAGAAAACATGGACGTCATAAACACAGCTGTAGATTCCTCTGTGGGCGGGCTCTGCAGCAGGAAACAGGAAGTGTGCAGAGTGATTGCTGGCTGGCTGGGTGTAGCTGTGTGTTGTGTTGGAAGAGTTGAAGGAGAGCTGGAAGGAGCCTCCTGGATACTGTGGCTGGATGGAGCAGCTGATGGTGAAGCTGGAGCCCTGAAACACTCCTGCTGAGCTCGACTGCAGGACGCCTGTGACCCCGTCACTGGAGGACACCGAAATGATTGGCTGAACCAGCAGGTCTGAAAGGAGACAAATGATTGGCTCGTCAGTTTTATCTGTGGTTTCAGCCCAGTTAAATGCTGCATCACATTTGAATCTGAGGAAGGAATGTAAATCTGGAAACAACCAGCATCATAGAATTAGAAGATCATGTCAACTATAAGTACTTTGATACTAAAAGCAGCTTTGTTGGATTCTACCTGTGCACACAAGCTCCAGAATAGTACCAGACTGAGATGATGAAGACAATAATGATGGTGATGCACACTGCCTTAGTGGATATCCAGATTTCAAACAGCTGAGCTGAATTTCCCAAACTTGTCTAACTGAAGAGTTATTCCTGGTTCCCATGGAAACGACTGAACCACAGTCCAACTCTCTGCAGGCTGCAGCTGCTTCCTGCATGGTCCAACCTGAGGCGCTCACTGGTCTCCATGTTCTGAGCTTCAGCTCCAGTGTTCCTTCACAGTGACTGGCTCCTCCCACCAACCTGATGGGTTCTGAACACAAATCAGTCATCAGTAACTGATAGTTACAGTTTGATTAGAACAGACATAACTCCGCCCCTTTTCTACCTGAGCAGGTTAGTCTGACGGCTTTGTTAGGTGAGCAGGTGTTTCTAACAGAGCCTGATCTTCTACAGTCCAGGAGGGAGGATTCAGTTCCTCCACACTGGAACTCTGCTGTCCATGTTGGAGCTTCCACTTCTCCATAGAGCGCCCCCTGCAGGACTGAAGGAGGTCCACAGCCAATCTCCCTGCAGACCACCTCTGCATCCTGCTGGTCAAGGACAGCTTCACAGACTGTAGACCAGATCTGGTTGAACTGGGAGGTTTTCACCTCCAGTCCGCCTGAACACAGACTGGTACCATTCACCAACCTGACAGAGTCTGAACAGAGGAGAGGTGGGAGAAATTAATCCTTAATATTAGTGTAATGCTCTGATATTC